GCTTCCTGGCACAGGCGGCACCGGCCTCGCTGCCCGCTGGGGCTCGGGGAGCCCTGGGACTCACAGCCCCGGCTGCGGCCTCTCCCCGTGCGCTCGAACCCCCTGGTTTTGCCAGCCATGCTCAGGCCACGTTGCGGCGCGCGGCTGCTGCGGCTGGACCCCTCCTCGCCGTGCTTTCCCAAACACGCGGGGGACTCCCGTTCCCCCCGCCCTGCTCCTTCCTCCTCCCCTGCCGCTCCTCCGCTGGCCCCGGGCCGCCGGCGCCGCTGGCAGCCGCCTCGGTGCTCTCCTCCAGGAATTCGGCCCTCCAGATGTCGGCGAGGCCGCGGCACCGCGGCCGCTCCGCAGTGAATCAGCCGCATACCAGAGGCCAGGGCGCAAACAGGCCTCCGCCCTGGGSCCCGGCCGCGCGGGCCTGCGAGCGCAGCCGCTGCCACCATCGCCCCGTGGGGACAACTGTCCCGCCGCGCCGGGATGGCACGGCCGGGATCTGGGCTGGCAGGGCTGCCAGGCACCATCAAGGCTGGGGACCAGCAGGGTTGGCATCAAGGGTGTAAAGCAGCAGCATGAGGCCCCGAGGGTCCTGGGGTGGCAGTGGGGGTCCGTCAAGGCCAGGCGCGTCCCCAGGGTGAGCGTGGCGCGGGGAGCCCGGGCGCTCGCCTTGCCAGGCCCCCGGTGAGGGGATGCTCGCAGCGCACTGACAATGTTGGCGCGAGAACAGGCGCCGCTGGCACTCGGGAGCTGGCGGGGAAGCTGCAGCCGGGAGGCGCTGGAAGCGGCTCCCCATGGGAGCGCGGCCCGGGGAGGCGGCAGCCCCGAGCTGCCAAGAGCCGCCCGGCGGGCACCGCCAGCACCGCGGCGGGACCCGGGCTGGAGCCACCCCTGCCCGGAGCCGCCGGAGGTCCCAGCGCCCACGATACCCCCAGGGACACGGCGGGAGGCTCCAGCAGGCGGCAGCCCCCGGAGCACCCGTTGTGGCCCATCTGGTCCCAGCCAAATTCCGGGGCTGCCCCCAGGGCCCCGCGCCGCGGTAGGTGGCATCGCAGYGCCGCGGGTTGCCCAACGCTTCCCCTCAGATGCCGCTGCAGCCGCTGGCGGCCGTGCCAAGCGCGGGCCGCGGCCGCCTGTGCCAGCCGCCCGGCCCGCCCCGGGCTGCAGCTTTTTCAAGTTTCAGCTGAGGCGGCTCAGTCATTTCCAAGAACAATATCGGGGGAAAGACATTGTTTTTTTCCCACGTTAGGGAAAAGGGAAAAAAAATAAATAAAAGAAGAAGAAAAAAGAGAAAAGAAAGAAGAAAGAAAGAATGTGAAATTGGTGACAGCTGCTTCCCCGCGCTCTGCRCGCTGCAGTGAGGTGCTGGCGGCCAGCGGCTGGGGAGGAGGAGGTCACCCGGGGACCAGGTGGGGCTTCGGCGATTCCCTGAGCCRCACAGCCGCAAAGAAAGAACAAAACAAAACCAAAAAACAAACCAGAAATGAAAAAGAAAGAGGTGTCCGCATTTGCACGTGCTCTGGGGAAGGCTCGGAAGGTGAAGGAGGCAGCACATTCCTCCAGCGCCGAGCGTGCTGCATCCTGCCCGCAGCTGGCGACGCAGCCAGCCCCGCGGAGCTGGGCCTGCAGGGGCCGGGCTGGGCTCGGCCCCTGCCTCCGGGGCTGGGATCGGCCTTCCTGCAGACCGGCATTGCCCCGCYGGGGCCGCGGCCGGAGTGGGAGCGAGCTGCCTGGCCTGCCTGTGCAGGGGCGAGGTGCTGGGAAGGGCGGAGGGCAGCGGAGCTGGTGGGGACCAGGCGGGGACAAGAGCCCCCCAGCTGGGTGACGTGCCGGGGAGCCCCGTGCAGCGCGTTGCATCGGCGGCCGGCGCTTCCCTGCACGGAGCAGGCCCGCTCCGGGGTGCTGCGCCCGTGCAGCCAGGAAGCTGGCGGGGCGCCCAGGCCGCAACGTGCCCGGCAGCGCGGGCGCCGCACACGTGCGCGCCAGCGTGGTTCCCGCGCGGCTGGAGACACCCCCGTCCCGCGGGCGGCGGGACCCACCATCACCCCTGCTCGCTTCCGGGAGGGGTCCCGCAGGACCCCCTGCCATGGGGAGCCCGGCATTCCCACCATGCCACATTCCAGCAGGATCCAGCRGGATCCGGCGGGATCCGGCAGGACACAGGGTGTTTCCTTCCACGCTGCCGGCAACCCCCGACCTGGCCCCTTTCTCTGCTGCCCGGGCACTGCGCCCAGCCGGGGTCCCCACCCCCGGGAGGGTCCCCACGTTGGGGGGGGCAGCAGCCGGTTCCCTGGCGCGGGGAGGGCGCCGGGTGCCCCGGTGCGGCCGGTGCCCCCCGCTCCTGCGGCCCCGGGAGGGAGTTTCCAGGCGGCCCCGGCTCCGTATCCGGGCCGGCCGCCACATCCTGCCTGCGGAAGGAGCCGCGGCCCCGGCGCCCCGGGACAGCCCCCGCCCGCCCCCCCGCGCCCGGCGGGCGGCTGACGTC